AAATATCTACTCTCCCTTACCCCACAGTAATCATTTGCCAAGAAAGTGATTTTTTTAACCTTTGAATTTTCCCAGATTCTGCCTAGCAAAACTCTGTCTGCAAGAGAGAGCACCAGTGGTGGAAAGTAAGATGACACAGGACTTAGAAAAACTAAGGGAAAACACAGGCATGGCTGTAGACCTGGAAGGATATAAAGAACGGGCAAGGAATTAAGAGAGCCAACATGATATAATGGTGGTAGTGAAGGTTGACAGCTACGGTGGCAGCAATAATGACTTTCGTGCTGGGAGTCAGGGGAGGGTGAACTTAGAAACAAGGAGAGATGGACTGGCTTGCATACTGTGAAACATGTATGTTTTAAAAATGAATATTCCTCAGTGTTTTTGTATTACTCTTTGAAACCATGGTTGAAATCCTATTCTTGAAGTCATTTTGACCAAAATGTCACCAATCTCAGCAAAGCCAGACAATTGCTCTGTACCACTGTCTCAAGTCTATTCACAAACACAGTAGCAAAGAGATCCAGAGCACACAGGCTGTGTTGGAAGTTACACTAGATAAATAAAAACACAGTTCAGCTGGGCATGGTGGTGCACACCTATAATCCCAGCACTCAGGAGGCAGAGGCAGGTGGATCTCTGTGAGTTCAAGGCCAGCCTGGTTTAAAAAGGGAGTTCCAGGGGGACCCTGTCTCAAAAAAAAAAAAAAAAAAAAAAAAAAAAAGTCCAAATAATTCAACTCTTTCAAAGAAACTGGATATGCTTTTACTATCCAAGGTAATCAAATAAGATAGTACTACCAAAAATTTAAATATGGCAAGATGAAGACCAATTGTATGAATTTTTCTTCCAGAATGAATCATTATTAAATGATCAGGGCTTTCTAAAAATAGAGAAGCAGAGTTTTTACTTGTCCTTACTTTGAATTGTGAACAAAATCCAGCACTGGACTCTATTTAACCATATGGCAATGTGTGCCTGACAGGAAAACACTGAGCTAAATCTATGAAGGAATCATATAAAAACGTTTTCTCAGAAACAAATTGTTCTCTAGATTTTTCAGTCCACTGCCTTCTAGAGAGGGGCAAAAGTCATGCATACTCCCACTTGCTCATGTAAAACTCACCAATGAGGCTTCTTTCCACATAAAAACAAATCTGCTGGTTTTCTTGCATTTACCAACTATCACAATTGTTCATTCATATCAGAAAAAAAAACACGAAGTATCAAGTTATGTATAATAAAACCACAAAAGAAGAGCATTTGCCTACCCAGAAAGAAAATGAATCATACTCTACAGAGATTTTGGCAAAAGACTGGTCCCAATTCTCTTTGAGAACCACAAGAATTATTCTTTCATTTTACTCAGAGATCATGGTTTCTCTCTAAACAATCCTTAATAGAAAAAGAATGTCTATTTTTATTCTGTCTTCTGTCACTTTGGCATGTTATAGACCCAATCAAAGTTTGTCAAAGAAAAATAATCTCCTTTTAGAAAGTGAATAAAATGTTCATTTACTTTGGGTAAATTTTAGCTTTCAATCAGACCATCTGGATCTAAATTAAGGTACCCTACTTTGAACATGGGTATGCTCACCATCTGGCTCCCCAAAAGCAGCAATTACTTCAGGTAAATGAACATTTTGCCTAATTCTAAGCAAGTATGTTCTCCTATAAGAGACCATGGTATAAACACACCCCTTTTTTATCTGCCTGCTATACATCTACATGAAAGAGAGTTAAGTATGTATTCTGCCTAAACGAGATAATTTATTATACATGTATAAACATCTTAATGTTAGGGGAACTAGTTTCAATATTCAACAAGTTACAAATTTTCTCCTAGCCAAGTAAATAGCTAAGAATGGAGGATTTGGCTAAGTTTAAGCAATCTTGGGCTTCACTGAGAAATCTGGTTAATAACCATTGTCCACTGTGTTATGGGAAATGTGTCTTCTCTGTAGGAAAGAACCAGGTACCCTCAAACACCTATTGGAGGAAAAATCATTCCAGGGGTCAAAAGTATATAGTACACAACAGAATCTAATTTTACTGCCCTCATCAACTGTTCTTTCTCACTGCTGGGTAGGGTGCTGCACATCTATAATCCCATTACTCAAGAGTCTAAGGCAAAAGAATCAGGAGCTGCTGTCTTGCTTACATTGTGAGACCCTTTCTTAAAAAGCAAATGAAATTTATTTCTCCAATCTCTGAGAAGTTAAGTAAGATGGATCAGATATTAATGAGTTGCTGTTTCCACAGAAGCTAAACAAAGTAAACCTAATTGTAGTATTGCTCTTTTAAGTATTTCAAGTTACTCAGTATAACTCCTGTTGACAGATTAAATATTTGTTTTCATTACAGAAATTATCCTATAATTAAATTGGCAAAAATAATGATTAACTAAAGATCAAGATGTTTAATCATTAATCAAAAAAAATCTGAGTTTGCACATGTGTCCTTTTAAAAAGTGGGTTTTTAAATGCCAATTTACATTGCATTTTTAGGATAAAATCATTATCAATAAAAGTCCAGTCTTGGCTGAGTTCCTGATATTGGTCTGCTTTAAAATGTTCAAGTAGCTATAGTAAAAAGAACAACAAAATTTTAATATTGAATGCTAATATAATTATGAGATTATTAGATTTATTTTGCCTTATCCACATCAGAAAAAAAAAAAAAAACAATAATTACTCATTTTGCTACTGGGGTTGTTGAGGGGGTGGGACCTTTCTCTAAGATTCTATTTGTAACTAAAACCAGCCTGGGATCCCTGAATACTAAATTCTATATTTCCATTGGAAATCAGAGTTTAACCATACATGTGCAATAGGTTAAATTTCCATTCAAATTATTTACATATGTAGGAGAAACTGAAAGAGAGAGTTTGAACACAAATATAGACTATGGGTACAAGAAATGTGTTACAGGGCAAGCAGAAACATCTGGTCTTTTATTTTAAGAGTCCTCCTAATTTGAAAACACTGACCAGAACAAGCCGAGTTCTGCCAAATACATCTTAGCATGGCTTTAAAAAATACATAATTTGAGAAAGTAGTTATCTTACCACAGCAAAATTTATTGATGATTATATGCAATGCCTACTATTGATATTCTGACCTGACAAACTTGTTTCTAAATGTAGCATACAAAATGTCTTCTATGCCTCTCCTAAATATCAGTTATCACTGTGTGATATTCTTTAGATGATGTTGGAGGAAGTAGTGGAAGAGTTTAAATTACCTGTATCTGGTCTTAGGAGTTAGAATACGAGTGACGTATGCATTGGCTTATAAGAGATTTTAACTGTCATACGACTTACTAAAGCACCAGTATTTTATTTATGTGGGGTTATTTCAAAGCATTGTATAAATGATAATACTTTTGTGTACTTCCATACTATAATGAAAATATTTCTGAGCATTTTCAAACACTGTGAGCTCTGGTCCAGGAATGGGAAAACCAATGTTCAAATCCTAGTTCTCTAATGATACCCCACCAACCCCAGGTGCCCTGGGTTTTTCTGAGTCCCCAGCTTCCTGGTGTTGAGCCACACACAGAGGAAAGGGGAGGTCTTAGTCCTTACTAATTGTTAGCCTATCTATAGTTAGTGAATTCATCTATTAGTTCACTCTGGTTATTTATCGGCCATATAGTCATTTAGTTGAAGTTTTTTAAATGCAGTGAGCAAGATTCATTCATACATTCACTCAACAGTATATTTGAAAGCTTACTACCACAGGATACTCATGAGAGCTTTGTAGCACTATGCCAGAAGCAGGGTTAAGTGCTTTTCAATACATTGACATACTGACCAATTATATAAATGAGAGTGTTGTTATTATCACCAAGTTGGAATTAAAAGTATGAGCTCTGGAGCCAAACTATCTGGGTCTAAATCACTTTGTCAGCTCACTTTGTGATCTGAGTCAAATTGTATGACTTTTCTGAGTTTCTGATTCCCCACTTGTAACACAGGAAGTGCTAATAACTGTATGAATCCCACCATGATCAAGTAGAACTTAGTTCACACAGTGTATAATAAACACTAGAGCTGGTCAATCAGTGACAAGAGTTGGCAACTTGAACACTTCCCCCCAAACCTTCATCACAGCTCACAGAAGAGTCTGGACACAGAACTGTTGACTCCAAAATGCCAATTCTAAGTGTTGAAAAGCATCACAGACTCTCAAAAAGAGGACTCCTTCAACTCTAAACCTCACCAAATGGTTAGCAATGGAATGTGGCTGCTAGCTTTCTCTCCCTTCATCAGGCAGTCATTTCTAGGCAGCAAATGACCAACCAACTGGAGTCACCCAGTCTTATTCTCGAGAGGGCTAACAGTGCCTGCGAAGTTACTCTCTCTGGCTCTAGCCATTGCAACTGCCAGTCCTATCCCTGTCCCCATCAGTCTGTCCCCAGGAACTTCTCTTTGTGCACATAATTTCAACTTGTCGTTTTGGAAAACTTTATACACCCAAAGCCCATCCTGCGTTGTGAGCCTGCTAGGAGGGCAGAGGACTATTCATAGTAAGGGGAGGTGGGCAGACTGAGGGGAGAGGGTGTGTCTGGTCTCATAGCTATGTTGTGCTGCTACCTCGCTCTTTGGTGCTCATTTTCCCTCCACCATAACCTGCGAAGCTTTTAGTGTCAGTGGGACCTGGCTCCGGATGATCAGCTACCTTTGGGGATTGGGGGAACAGGCTATCTAAATAACTGGTCACGAGGTCCTGACTAGAGAGGGAGCAACCTATATCTTTTGTTACTGCTGGAGTTTGTGGAGTTGGCAACCGCTGCTGGCCAGACACCTGGGAGACCCCCTACAGTTACTGAGGACAGTCCTCCCTGCCTTAGCTTCCTTCCCACCCCAGCCCCCAACCCTGGTTTTCTGGATATAGGAAATAAGAAGCCTGCGGGTCCCGGAGGTCGCCTGCCGCTGGCTCAGCGGTGCGAGACTCCTGGCGGGGTGGGGCAGCGCAGGGCACCGCCTCCCTTCCTACCTTCTCTCCCCATGGAGCACGTAGGAGCTGCGGAAGAAGCCGAGAAGCTCGTTCTCGATCAGGGCGTTGTAGATAATCTTCAGATTGTAATTCCTCTGTGCTTCCAGAGTTCTATTCAGCACCACCACCAAGACCTGTGTTTGTGGGTAGAGGAAAAAGCCGGCCACCGGGACAGCCCCAGACGCCCGGTCTTCAGCCACCTGCACCTTCTCCACCGCCACCCGGGAGGCATGCAGCACCACGTAGCGGGTGGCGTTCCTGCAAGCGATCTCCACGTTGACCTCCCCCGAGAAGGTGAAATTCTCCATGAAGGCGGTGAGCATCAAATTATAGTGCAGCGGCTTGAGGTGGCCGGATAGGCGCAGCTGCGTCCACGGCTGCCAGGGCTCCCTCTCCTCCTCCGACGGCGGCCGGGTAGACGGGGTGTCCGGGGTTGCCACCCCGCCCGTCTCGCGCTGCGAGGAGTCCCCACCCGCGTGGTGGTTGCGCCGGGCGGATCCCGGATGGCTGCCGTTGCCAGCACGCTCGGGGAAGCCCCCGGGGCTACCGTCGGCGCCAGGCGCTGCCGCGCTCGCTCCACACTCGTCGAAGCGCAGGCTGAGCAGCACGGCCAGCATGGTGACCGCCAGCAGCGCCACGATGGACACGGCGAAGGCCAGCACGAGCCGCTTGTGCACCGCGATGTGGCGCTCGGTGGTGCGAGGTCGCACTCCCACGGAGTCAGCCCACGGGTCTGAGAGCCCCCTGCCGCTGGCCCGGAGCGCGGCGTCGTCTTCGCCCATGGTGGCCGCGAAGGGTGAGCGGCTCTTCTCGGCCCCCTCCTCCTTCTTCCTCTTCTTTTTCTTCTTCTTTTTCTTCTCCTCCTCTTGCTCCCCCCTCTCGCCGTCCAGGGCCATCACACCGCCTCCTCCTCTTCCCCCGCCCCCTCCGACACCCCCCGCGCGCGGGCCACCCGGGTCACCGGCAGCGCAGTCATCTGAGAGCGCACGCGGGCGGAGGGCACTATACGGGCTGGGACCCTAGGGAGGCCAACCCCGCTTCTTCTAACACAGGCTCCGGTGGTTGGCGACTGCACCCCGCATCAGTCCCGCCCCTCTCCCGACACCAGCGGCTGATGGCGGGGCAGCAAGCTCTGGGACGCACCCAACTTGGAAAGCTTGTCGCTCGTCCCGCGCGCGCTACTTCTCGAGGTGGTACCCGGCGCCTGGGCACATGCCGCCCCCGCCCTGTGCGCGGGCGGCTGGCTGCTCTCCTCCCGGCGCGGCGCTGGTGTCGGCGGGAGCTCGGCCAGGAGGATCCGGAGCGCTGGGGAGAGGGAGCGTGTGGAATGGAAGTTAGGGCTTCCTCACGCTGCCCGCACTCCGGTGGCGGCCTTCAGTCCTCTGGATGGGGTGTGCTGGCAGCGGCTGTGGTGGCAGCGGCAGCCCGGAAGGCACTCGAGCCTTCCGCCCCTCAACCAGAGAGGAGAGGATGACCGAGAGACTGGAGGGAAGAACTAGAGTGAGCCAGCCGGAGGAAGTCCCAGGGCTGCGGAGCATCCGTCCTGGAGAAGCCTGCTCCACCCTGGATACTTTAAGCAGTGGTGGCGGCAAAAGGCGTGAGGTTGCAGACCGGACTGAAAGCCTCCGGCGTTCCGAGGTTGCTCTGCCCTCCAGAGACGACAAGTGAGGAAGAAGTGTCCGGCCGGGCCATCCACTTCAGGTAGATGAAGGTCTACTCCATGCCCCCCCCCGGGGGGGGAGAACAGAAGTGCGAGTGTGCGAGCGAGTGTGCGAGCGAGTGTGCGCGCGTGTGTGCGTGTATGTGTATGTACAGGGGCTCCGGGGCTAGATTGCCAACGCTACTCCAGCTGCATTCAAGGACTGAAACTCCCTGAGAAACCCAAAGGAGAGAGCGAGGGAGCGCGAGGAGGCAGGGAAGGGGGGAGGGAGGGGAGAGGTTGAGCGGCAGAGGCAGGCGCTGGGAGATTAGAGAGCTTTTCTCCGCTCTGTCACACCAGACACCCACAGCCACAGAGGGGATTGCTGAGCCGCCTGCTAGAAGTACATTGTAAATCTTCAGCGCAACGAGCCCCGCAGTCACCCCTCTCCCGACTCCTTCGCCCCACTGCGGCTCCCCAGAGGGACCGCTGGAGCCTTTGGCTATTAGCATCAAGAGCAAAGGAAGATCCTGCTGGGGAGACGAGGCTATGTCAGATCGCACATCAAGCTTGCCAGAGGATTTGGAGGACTGTATGTAAATTGAAATAAATTCTCCAAAGCCTGACTGCATATATTATACTGTGTGTCCAGGTGTACAGTGCTGAAATAATGCCTAGCAAGAAACAGTGGAGTCCTCCAGAAGTAAAGACCAAAGGAAGAGACTATTCCCCATAGAAGTCATTTTATTCTTAGGTTGGGAAAACGATTGTAATATAATGCCGACCGTGCAACATTCAGAAACAAAAACGAGTGTGAGGAAAACTAAGGATGAGGGCCCCATGACTTTAGATTTACTAGAACGGTGAACAAATGCGTTCTGTGATTGGTCCGTTTTTTCAGGTAACCTAGCCACAACCACTTTTTGGCTGCTTCCCAATATTATCATGAAAATAGTTTAAACTTTGTACGAACAGTTATGAATAGTTTACTGACAGCAAGAGTCATTAAAGCCCAGCCATAGCCTGTTGGCTGCCTTTGAACTCTTTCATGGCTTGAAGTTCTGAATTATAGTGCAAAGTAGTTTGACACCCAAACTTCAAAATTTGCATAAGAACTGTAACTAGAACAATACTTGGAAAACAGCCACCCCAAAGGTGACAGTTAAGGAGGTAGTGGCCTTGGCTTCAGTCCAAAACAAAAGTGCACTATAAAAAAAGTAAGGTGATCCTTTTTGTGTGTGTGTCTTTTTGAGACAGGGTCTCCTTGTAGCCCCAGCTGTCCTGGAACTCACTATTGTAGACCAGGCTGGCCTCCAACTCACAAAGATCTGCTTTCCTCTGCCTCCCAAGTGCTGGTTTTTAAGTCCTGCACCACCTTTTGTTTCTTTAAATCCAGACTGTGTTTGAGAAGTCATGCCCATTATTATTTCCCTTATAAAAAGAAATGTTTAATGCTGTTGGATTTGGAATACTAAAAAAACACATTTAAAATATTGTGCTTAATTGTGAAAGCATGGCCAATAAGAGACTCGTTAAACATCAGCTTTAGTCTGATAACACAGCATTGCCTGAGTAAGCTCTTTTCCCATTATCCAGATGGGGCCCTTGCTCAACACCGTGTAGTCTAACTGTCCACGTGAATCATCCCTGAATGATGATGAAAATAGGTGCCAGGGTGGGTTTTTTTCAGCATGTTGTATGTGGGCCGTCAGCAACAGACCAAGGGAAATGCCACATTCTGTTCAAGTCACTTTTTTCTGCTGTTTTAAAGCGGCTGTGCTCTTGCTGTTCGTATGTATCTGGCTATGTGCATTTTAGGAGTTGAGGGGTTGGGAATTAGATAGTTTCCCAGAACTAGGACCCTCAGGAGGTATGACATTCTTGAGACTTCATGAGTCTTTTCTAGTCCTTCGGGATAATTTGTGTAAGAGTGACAGATTACCAGAGACTTCTGGACTTGCCCCTGGGTGTCTGAGAAGTACTTCTTAAATGAAAACTCTAAGGCTAAGGGATCTCTGAGACCCTGCTCTCTCTAAAACGATGGTAGTCAATAAGATTCAGAAGACTTTTTCTGTTCTTCCTTGGGTCTCATCAACATGTTTGTTTACTCCTGAAATTGCAAGGTAACTCTCAAACACTCTGCAATTTAAAAATTCACTTACCAGTTAATAAAGTTTCTCTTGACTGATTAAATTAGCAAATAGATTGTTTTGGGGACGCAGATGAAGCAGGCTCAAGTTTATTAACATAAAGTGGACACAACTTATTAACTCATTGATCCCCCTTAAATGTAGCTTTACCCAATAAGTCAGTATCAAGGTCAAGTAAGTAAATATTTCTTCTGCTTCTATCAATGTTATAGAGTCTCAGTGAGTTCTTCTTTTTTAATTTCTGAAAGTATAAAGTGCCTGAGAAATAACCACTTTGGTGAAATAAATTTTTTATATCATTTTCCTAGAGAATCTTCATTCTCTAGGAAATGACTATTATAATATTCATCATCTAGCAAATATTATTTATCTGCTAATATTATCTAGCAAAAATATTAAGTTATCCACTAAGACTTTAAAACTTGAACTCAGTGCTGTAAGTCACTTGGTTGGAGAAAGGTTTGACTCTTCGAATGTTAGAACCATCCAGTGTTCTACACAAACACTAAGCGTTCTCAAAGTGTACTGATGCTCTAATTTATTTGTTGGGCAAAGTTTGCGACTACTTTCTTTAACTAATAAATGTCATTAAAAATCATTTTTTGCTGTATTTAATTCAGGAACTTGTAAAAGTGAGTATGAACTGAATGTTTTAAGCTCATGAGGCCAAGCAAGGGCTGATTTTAATTAAATCTGCACTTTGATCCTGTCGATAATCAAAATGAACTGTCTTCCATGAATATGCTCGCTTCAGGGTCTTTACTCTGATTGTTTACACTTAAACTGCTTTTTTTTTTTCTTTTCACACTGATTTATATGTACAAGCACAACTTGAATGTCCTTGTGCATTCAGTTCCTGCAAGTGTGATTAGCTCCTCAGGTCCAGAAACTACTTGGCCCTGAAGAAAATACTGCTCAGCTTTCCCAACTTTGCATTTTCATAGTCCACTTACTTAATCAAATCAGTTTCTTGATGTCTTAATACCAGAGAGCTTGGAGATCTGTTACAGGTCTCAAATTCTTTGAAAGAAATTCTGAAGCTATCTTCCTCGGGCTTTCAAGAGATTTTTAATCGTCTCTATGAAAAGCAAACAAAATCTGGACTGAGGAGATATAGCTCACTTGATAAAATGCTCACCTTGCAAGCATGAGGACCTAAGCTTGATCCCCCAAACCTGTGTAAAATAAGCCATGTATGGTAGTGCATGCTTCTAATCAGAGTATTGAGAAGGCAGGGAGCCCTGGGTCTCTCTAGCCAGCCAGCCTAGTCTATTTGGCAAAGTCCTTGAGCAGTGAGACATTGTCTCAAAAGAAAGATGGTGCACGAAGAATATCTAATGTTAGCCTCTTCCAGCCTCCACATACATGCACACACATTTACCAGCACCTCTATACACATATGCACCAGCACACATAGGAACAGAAAGAGAACAAAATAAAATTCAATTTTAAAGTTTAAAAAAACTTTATAAAACTGCACTTACCCACTAAAATGTACAGTACAGTAAACAAACCACTTCATTCTCTAGGAAATGACTGTTATAATATTCATCATCTAGCAAATATTGTTTATCTGCTAATATTATCTAGCAAAAATATTAAGTTATCCACTAAGACTTTAAAACTTGTAGTCAGTGTTGTAAGTCACTTGGTTGGAGAAAGGTTTGACTCTTCCAATGTTTGACTCTTTGGCTGCTCAGGCAGTCAAAATGGCTGGTGTGTTTAGGACAGAGCACATTTCTGAGACCAGCAGTTGAAAACCCCTGCTGACAATAGAAGTGAGAGACTCTATTGACCAGCTAAAGTGGTGCCTCCACGTGGCAGCAGCAAAACAGCACTTTGAAATCCAAAACAGTGAAAATTTGATGGAATTTTTAATTTGAGGAAATTCATACTACATTCAAATTTATTAATTTTATATTGCACATTTTCAAAATTGCTAACATTTGCCACAACTCTTTTTAAAGTTTCATATTTAAAAAAAAACACCTTTCAAATAGAATATTCTTCAAGATCTTGAAGATGGAGAGAGAACTGCTTAAAAATAGTGATTTTTCATGAAGCCTATAGATTACCAATTAAATTAATACCTTGATTTAATGGTCAGTTGTCTTATTTCTGTGATT